GGGGGGGGGGGGGGGGGGGGTCACACTGGACCGTCCGAGCCGAGGAGAGAGCACACTTCTGGGGGAGGAGAACTCATCTAAAGAAGGGTGAGTGTGGCACCTCATTCACTTGATTCTACTTCCTCACCTCATTTCTGTATGCATCTTTTAGGACCTGTGGATCTAGTTACCATACAAATTGTTGCATTTTTTTTTGGGTTGTCTGGATGTTGCCCAAATGATGTGGAATCGTGCCATACTTGCACTCTTTCAAGCTCCATTTGAATTCAGATTGCACACACACACACCACGCTCACACACACACGTACACACACTCTTACACACGCACACGCTCACACACTGTTGTCACGCTGCGAGTGGAAGGAAGGCGCTAAATGAGCAGCACACAATGGGGGCAACACGACGGCGGACTTGTTTCTCCAGAAAAGAGAATTACAATATATACAAACACACGAACTGTTATTTAAAAAAAAAAAAGAAGTCTATTTATTCATATTCCGCTTATCTTTTCTCAAAACTCGAAACTACACTTGAGCAGTTCCAATACACGACGCCATGTTCCAAAAGTCTAGTTTGGACTCTCGGGGTTGAATCTTTCTGAAAATGTCACCAGGTGAAGACGAAATAGCTTCAGACGAGAAAAGTTTTGAGTCGTGTCGTTTTCCATCAATGTAAATATTGCTACATTGATATAGACACTTTAATGACGGGGTGGGGTGGGGGGTAGCAGGAGTATGATTTTAAAAATGGTTGTCCGTCAATATCACAACTCGGTGTCGTTTTCACAAGAAAACTTAACACGAAGACCCCAAAGGAGACTTCAAACATTCGTCCAAGTAGAAATATTGAATCAAATCTGAAGACTCAAAACTTAACTAAATGCCTTTTTTGAATCACAATAGGAATATATCATCTCAAAGGAGGGTGCGTGGGTGGATGGGGGGAATCAACCTTAAGACTAAAAAAAAAAAAAAATGACATTGGAAATTGTTGTTTTCCTTTTTATGAGCAGCTGCATCTGTTTAAGTCATTTTTCTCTCAGGAATAATCAAATGAAGAATAAAAATTAGGCTTGGAAAATGGATCTCTGGAAGGATAGGAAAACACGTTCCTGTTTCAGTCTCACTTTATTAAGGAATTTCGACTAAAAATCACACTTTAAAATGTCTTTCTGTCACTCTTAGAAGTTTAAAATGGACTTTTGGCATGAAAGAAACATACGCTTCCATTTTCCGACTAGTCAACATCAAAAAGACTCATTATAGGAAAATGTGCATCAAGTGTGGTTTCATTTCCATCAAGTCAAAATGAAGACGTAGAGAACTAAACTTTAATATATGTATTTATCATTAGAGGAGGAACCTGTGCTGCCATTTTAGTGTCATTTTTCAAGATGGTGGTCAAACTCAAGCTTGAACAAAAAAGAATTTAAAAAATTGGCATTAGAGCAACACATGCATCCAAGTTTTTTGTTCCATGTTCACGAATAGACCAAATCAAAATTACAAATTACACTTTAAAATGAAAGCACATACTTGTATATTTTTTTTTGGGGGGGGGGGCGTAGAAAAGTCACGATATAAGATGGCAAACTATACTTTTTAAAGTATTTTTTGTCAATATATGTACATCGATTTTAGAGGCTTTTTCCTCCACTATCAGTCAAAATGAAGATGACTTCAAATTTGAATGTGATTATATTTGTGTATGCATTTTGGTGGCATGTTCATCATGAATGATCAAATTTAAGATAAAGGAAAAAAAAACAGCAACGTAGATGTCCCAGTTTCACAAATTGTCCAAATCAAGACTCAAATTTAAACACATTTGTTATTAAAAAAAAAAAAAAAAAAAGGACGTGTGTCATTTCTCCAATGAATAGTCAAATTCAAGACGAAGAGCCAGACTTCCCAAGATATATTTTTTTTTTGCTTTCGGGCAATGTGTGCATTCATTTTAGTGACATGTGTGACGACATGTTGATGACTTATGACATAATTTTCAAAAGTGACAGTCAAATTGAAGATTTAAAACAAGCCTTTTTTTGGCATCTCTTTGTGTCATTTTTATATGGAATAGCAGAATAAAAAAAAAGCGAAGGAACTAGAAATCACGTTTTTGTTATTGTATGAATCTCATATCAAACTTTTTACAGCAAGTAAACCCCCCACCCCCTCCAAAAAAAGCTCTCCATGTGCCACTATCATGACAAACATTCTGTCAAGTCCCACTGCACACAGTAAAAATACTTGTAAAGGTACTTGAAGACCTTTTTTTTTTTCCGGTAATGAAGACAGTCTGGCTGCTGCCTTCCACGCATGGTTGAATTATTATTACTATGATTATAATTATGAACTTCAATTCAAACTGCAGCATTGGTAATAGACTGTAAAACAAAATAATAATAACACGCAGTGACATGATATCTGTTTTCTTGTGTGCGTGTGTGTTAGCGCCTCCAAAAGTGCAGTCAAATATTTTTTGGGTGCAGCCAATTGGCATGCAGCGCCACTCTGCTAGAGTACACACATCGTCTGCGCATGCGCGTTGTCCTTCAGCTCCCATAACCCACTTTCAGAAGCGGCTGTCTGTGTGTGTGCGCGCGCGCGTCTGTTTGCGCGTGCGTGCGTGGGCTCGCGCGCATATGTGTGTGTGTGTGTGTGTGTGTGTGTGTGTGTGTGTGTGTGTGTGTGTGTGAGTGAGTGTACATATTTTTGTATGTGTGTGTTGTAGTAGTAGTACTAGTACACTACAAAAGGTGACGCCTACACACAAGGAAGAAAATCCTGCTGCTTCCGCTGCCTTTCACACAATGCGAAAGACCCTCCCCACTCCTCACCCCCCTCCCAAACACACACATACACACACACACGCACGCACGCACGCACGCACACGCACACACGAAACCTCCACTCTCTCTATGGTTGCCCCTCGTGTGTGATTTCCTTTTGTGTGCCTGTCCGAACCCGGAAGTGTTCTGACACTCCGGGGTCAGACCCGCCGTTGTTGTCCAATTATTCGGAAGAAGGGGGGGAGAAAGGCTTGCAAATTTTCAATGATATGACAAGTACTTATTTTAGACACATTTCGTGTTGTTTAAACGTTTTATTTGTTTTTAGGTTTTTTAAAAAATGGTTGCGCTAAAGATTACCTTAAAACCGAATTAAAAAAGGTCAACTACAATGAATTCTCGTACACCTCATGGGTTTTATTTATTTATTTGTTTATTTATTCATTTGGGTAGGGGGGGTTGTCGTGCATACAATTTAAAACAACAAAAAGAAATTCTAGTCCACTAAAATGACGATTTTTTTTCTCTTGTAATGTAGCGCAACAACGAAAAAAAATATTGTTACATTATTGGCACTGTTTACTTATTTAACTGTAGTTTTAATTTAACACGACAAAAAAAATTATTGGGAGGTGTTAACGG